TAAAAAGAGAATGTTCTTGATATGCTTTTCATTGTATAGGTGATATAAGTTCAGCAAATAGTAAAGTTTGCTTGTGAGTGTTTTCTAGAATCTTTAATAACTTTAACTGCAAGAAGTTTTGCCTATTATTGCTGAAGCTTGATTATTTGGGTTGAACAAGTCTATTCTATTATCATATCATCCGTTCATGGTCTGAAATAATTATGATAGCTGTTGTGTCTGTGATTTAAGCATTCTCTGAAGATGATGTAGATAGTTTATGTTGTATTAACTTATACTTCAGGTTGTTTTTAATGCGTACTTAGAGCTGGGATATCTGGCTTACTGGCTGTAAAATGATAATAATAGCCTACCTTATAAGGTTGTTAAGAAAGTGAACAGAAATTTATGGATGTACTGTGCTGTACATTTATCTGAGAGTGAAACGTCCAATCTACTACTTTACAAGCATAGTGTTATGTTCTAAATTCTGTTGGTAATAGATACTTGCAAAATTGTTATAAATATTTTCTTATTTCAAGGAAACATTTCAGTTTTTCGTATAGAAACTAAACTTGGCTATCAGATGCTATTTTAAAAAACACTCGGAACTTTTAAGTCTAATCCTAACAAATTGGGAGTTTTGTAAAGATTTATATTTTGTTGCAAGTTTTGTAGATACATTGTTGTATATATGAAAATATGTTATATAGTCAGTGGAATAAACTTTAAGCCTAACAGTATTGTTAATTCTATGAAACTCTGCACATCCTTACATTTCTTGCCACTGCTTTAATATTCATGTTTAAATACAGAAATGTTTTCGTAATGATCCTTACCACTATCTTTTCCAAAGTTAAGTTTTCTTAAAATATATGCTGTTTAAAAAGACATTTTTAAATTGCAGTCTAGCAATTCTGGTATAAAGATTTGTACAGTAATTACTATTATGCATTACCTGAATAAAATTCTTCCCAGAGCAGAAGTTTATTCAGTGTTACTTACATTTTCTAGTCTTTGCATCTTATTATTCCACTACCCTGTTGTTTTTTTTAATATAAAAACCCCACAATGAATTAAGGAAAAGTTGGGGGTTGCTACCCAGTAGTCATTTTATTGAATGACTAAGAAGGAAGCAGCTGTTGCCTGTTGCATTTGTTTCTGTCACATATTTTGCATGACAGGAATGCTTTCTAAAAGAAATCAATTTCAAAAACAAGTTATGTGATTATTTCTAATTATGCTCTAGAATTGTATTTTTTTAAAATAAAGCTTTATAATGAGTTCAAAAAGTGGAAACAAACTGAGCTCCTAATCAGGGAAATTATAAGCCCAGATTAATCAGTAATTCAGAAAAACTGGTACTATGACTTAAGACACAGTTTGCACATGGGTCCTGATACATATTCTTATAGGAAGAAGTATAAGGCTTAGAGAGATTTAGAAGGGACCTACAAGATAAGTGTCCAAACCCCTGTACACTGCAGGATTCACTACACCATCCTCGATAGATGACTATCCAGCCTCCATCCAGCCTCTATCTGAAAACCTCCAGTGAAAGGATTGACTAAATAACAGCTCTTAGACTTATATTAACAAAGTGTTTGAATAAAGGTTTAAACTGTATGTTGGTGATTCATTTGGAACAGAGACTTTATTGCTCAAGAAGATTAAATATATTTTGCTCCTAACAGTTTATATTTTTGCATGGTTCTTTCCTGAATGGGTACAGAATCTTCATAGGTAGGAATAAGTTATTACTGAGCTTTGTTCCCTATTCTTCACTAACTTATTTAACTCTATTTACTTATGTTATTTGGCTTATTGTTGGTAAGGGAAATCTGCACTAATGTCCTGGTGTCTTCAGTGTTCTTGAGTACTCTGTATCCATATGCTAAAGGTTGAGGGGGAATTACTGGGAATAGCAGAACTCTATCATATATGTCTTAATGAGTACAGGTAGTCCTTGCTTAACAACCATTTGTTTAATGACAGTCAGAAGTTACAATGGCCTCGGGAAAAGTGGTTTACAACTTGTACTTGCACTTACAACCATCGCAAACTGTTGCACCACCCCTTTGGTCACGTGATTGCAAGTCAGGAGCTTGGGAACCCGGCTCACATTTACAACTAGTTGCAACGTACTGTGGTCATGTGATTGTGATTTGGGACTTTTCTGGTTTCCGACAAGAAAAGTCTATTGAGGAAGCTGGATTCACTTAACGATCATGTGATTTGTTTAACAAACACAGTGATTTGCTTTGCAACCTTTGTAAAAATGGTTGTAATATTGGGTCTGGTCATGTGGTGACTTGCTTAACGATGGCTCCACTTAATGACCAATTTTCCAATCCCTGTTGTTAAGTGAGGACTACCTGTAATCTTTATCTGGGTACTTGACTATAATAATCCAAAAATGGATTATTTTTCTCCATGTTTTAAGTGTGTACTTTTAGACTAACCTACTTCAGCTATTGGAGTTAACTTTTCCAAATAAATACAGAATATATTTGTGGTACACAGGGATCATCAGTTCTGCCCTGCACCTTTGCTAAAATGGAATCAATTGCTTTACTTAAACTTTCCAGAAGAAATGATAGAAGATGAGCTCTGATTGACTCACTGGATTTAGAGTTTTCTTTTTCTTTTCTGGAAAATATCCCCATTAATTCCTGCTAGTAACAATGAAGCAATGTGTGATCTTGGCCCATTTTTGTTATCATTTTTAGTTCCCACTCTTCATGAAAGGTCTCCAGATCTTTTATAACAAACCCTCTGTGTGTGTGTGTGTGTGTACAAAATGGATGTCAGCAAAGATGATTTCCTCCTGTTTTACTTTTGGGATTGAAAGTCTTCCATGGACAATTTGATCTTGGTTTGCTTGAAGAGCTCCTAACTCGCATATAAGCAGGTGAGACTGAACATTAAATGCTGACTTCAGTAGCGCAACAACATAATATGATCTGAGAACATACAAAGAAAAAGTAAGGGATCTGCATCATTATTGGAAGTTAAATTTTGGTCAATTATCATTCCAGATTTTTCTTTCTCTATTGTTTCTGAGGAAGATATAGTTGTATTTTGTTCCAGTTATAAAAGCTAGAATGACTGAATTACCAGTGGAATCTGACAAATTTATAAAGGATTTCATGCCTTGGATATTTATATAATTCTGGATTTGCAAAATTATTTACTGGAGATAATATTTTTAAATAAAACAATAAATGTTTGGTTTATAATGTTTGTAAAAAGAAGCAAGATTTTTTAAAGAAAGTATAGTGATTGACAAGTTTAGTTGTTTTAGATAAATTTACAGCTTAATTATCTCAGCAGTTCAGTATAGGAATAATAGTCTGTTGAATCTCCTCAACCTTACACCATTTATTCACTTATTGAAATCTGCATTAAACATTTGATTTTTTTCAGCAGGATTCCTTTACTATTATATCAACCATCCAAATATCAATTGTCTACCAATAATTTAATCAAGTAATACAATATGGGGGAATGAGGCCATACTTATTTCTTTGGGGTATGTTGGTTACAAGGATTTTATACTTCAACAGCTGTCCCCAAGTTCTCATACTACAGTACTGGGGCTTATGTACATTGCTCCTCAATTAAGAGTGTACAGAAAATGGCGAAAACATGTTTTAAGCCCAGAACATTCAAAATTGAATGTATTGTATTCTGTATCTGAAATATTTGTAGTGTTCTGCTGTAAAAAAATAATAGGAGCTAGATACAAGTGCCTTGTCCCCCCCCCTTTTTTTTTAGTCCTAGCATCAAAGAAGTGAATTAATAGTTCATTCTGAATTCATGTTATTCAGACCATCCAGTTATTGGTCAACTGGATGAAATTTTAAAAATAAATTTCTCCATAGTGAACAATGAAAATAACAGTTAATGCTTGTTTCTTGCTCTCTGGCAAGCCCGCACAATCATAGGACTGAGTCAAATAAAGAAGTAAGTACAGCAATGGCTTCTTTTCAGTGTAACCCACAAACAACATACTAACAAAAATACACATCTGTAGACATCAGCAAACAAAGCAACATAAATGTTGCATTTACCATCTAAAAGTTTAATAGTATATCCTATCTAATATTTGTACGTTACACAATACACATTTTTGCATTTGGGAATTTGACAGAAAAGGAAAGCATAGTCCCCACAGAACGTGGGAACAACAAGGTTACATTGCAACTATGAATTCCTAATAACTTAGTAAATAATGTAAGCTGATATTTAATATATCTATCAAGCATTCACAAATCTTTTTTCTGATATCCAAAATGCTATCCATGTTTGAATATTTGTTTGCTTGCTTATTTAAATAATTTATATGGTTGCCCAACTCACAAGTAGCAACTCTGGACAGCTAACAAAGTAAGCAGTAACAAAAGAATGCAAAGACATGCCATTATACTACACCACCAAGATCAAGCCACAGGTACTTAATTGACTCCCGTTCATTCTCACATTCCTCTTCTCTTCAGCTAGCATCAGACAGCTGCAGCAAAGATGGAACTGTATCTCCAGGTCTCCTTAACTTTAAAGAATTTAAATGAAAATGAGCTAATCATGTGAGGTTGGATTTCTTGAAACAAGTGGAACAGAATCATATACATACAGACCTTTTGTCCTGAACTTGGGACAAGAAAGGAGTACAGGTAGTCCTCAACTTACAACCATTTGTTTAGCAATCATTCAAAGTTACGACAGCGCTGAAAAAAGTGACTTACGACTGGTCCTCACACTTAAGACCATTGCAGCGTCCCCATGGTCATGTGATCAAAATTTAGGCACTTGGCAACTGGCATGTATTTATGATGGTTGCGGGATCCTGGGGTCACACGATCGCCATTTGTGACCTTCCCAGACAGCTTCCAACAAGCAAAGTTAATGGGGGAAGCCAGATTCACTTAATGAGTGCATGTTTCATTTAATGACCGCAGCAAAAAAGGTAGTAAAATTGGGCGTGACTCAGTTAACCACATCACTTAGCAATAGACGTTCCAGTCCCAGTTGTCATAAGTCAAGGACTACCTATTTTGTTCTGAACTTGGAAGAAAACATCCCATGTTCTGAGGTTTTGTTCCAAGTTCAAGTCATGTTAAGGAGCCATTTCTAACAAGGAATGTTGCGTCAGACTTGCCTTTGTATTCCAGATGTGTCCTAGGCAGAGATTCTAAATATGAAAGTTGTCCTGAGAAAAATAATGGTAAGTGCATAGTACAGACAATACTGTTTGAAGATGTCAGGCAGTATATTAAAAAGGCTGACAATTTTACCCTATTGAATGTGAGAGCTAGAAAAATCTATTAACATATATTCTGTGGCATAACCTGAGTATGGGAAGGAGGATAATTATTGGAATTGAAGAAATAATGCAAGTACTGTATGTTTATATGTGTGTTAAAAGTTTTTTTCCCCCCTACAAGAATTGTGAGGACTACCTTTGTTCTGAAGTCATTTAAGAGCAAAGCAAAAATTTCATACCATTTCATGAGTTTATATATATAAATAACAGATAGAATGTTTGGATTTAATTCTAGATAAATGTATGTAGAAATGTAACTTCAACCAATTCATATGGAAGACAAAAATAATTTTGTGAATGCTTGTAAATGACAATTTAAAAGTAAGGATATTAGAATAATTTAAACTGTATTTTTAAGATAATTGTAGTATGAGAGCTTGTATAGCTGAATAGATTGAAACTTTATGCCATTTTTTCATGTAAAGCAGCCTTTCTGTTAATTCATGCTACCTTTTGCCTCAAGGTTGTTCTTATAATACAGAAATATGTTTCTGTCTCTCATGTAGGTTATAGATAGATATTGATATTGATTACTTGGAGATAATTGTAAAACAGGTGTGGAATTCTTCATGTTAACCTGTGTGTTTTGTTTTCTAGTGCATAAATATCTTTCAAAAATGCAGGCACTAGTCTTATCCTTCAAGGGAAAAAAATAAGCTTTCCTGTTTTCAGAGTATAGCTCAATCTTACTGTTTTAACAATCACCTTTTTGAATTGTAGGTAATCATTACCAAATGAGGAGGAAAGGAAGATGTCATCGAGTATCTTCAGCACGGCACTCTTCTTCTCCATGCAGTATTAAACGGTCCCCTACTAGAGAAACCTTAACATATGCCCAAGCTCAAAGGATGGTAGAAATAGAAATTGAAGGTCGCTTACACAGGATCAGTATCTTTGAACCCTTGGAGATTATACTGGAAGATGATCTTACAGCCCAAGAATTAAGTGAATGCAACAGCAATAAGGAAAATAGTGAGAGACCACTGGTCTCTCTGAGAGCAAAGAGGCACAGAAACAATAAAGTTAAAAAGAAAAATGAAACTCTTCCAAACACACATGGCATTCCATCTACTGCAAGTACTCTTCCAGAACCAAAAGTGCATGTTGTTGAATATAGTCCACCTTCTGCACCTCGTAGACCTCCAACCTATTATAAATTTATTGAAAAGTCTTCAGAAGAACTAGATAATGAAGTGGAATATGACATGGATGAAGAAGATTATGCATGGCTAGAAATAATCAACGAGAAACGAAAGAGTGATGGAGTCTCAGTTGTATCACAAAATATGTTTGAATTTCTTATGGACCGTTTTGAAAAAGAGTCTTATTGTGAGACTCAGAAACAGGGTGAACATCAGTCTTTAATTGATGAAGATGCAGTTTGTTGTATTTGCATGGATGGAGAATGTCAGAACAGCAATGTGATTCTTTTTTGTGATATGTGTAATTTAGCAGTGCATCAGGAGTGTTATGGGGTGCCATATATACCTGAGGGCCAGTGGCTTTGCAGACAATGTCTGCAATCCCGTTCAAGGCCTGTAGACTGTGTACTGTGTCCAAACAAAGGAGGTGCCTTTAAAAAGACTGATGATGATCGGTGGGGACATGTAGTGTGTGCTCTTTGGATTCCAGAGGTTGGATTTGCCAATACAGTTTTTATTGAGCCAATAGATGGAGTCAAAAACATTCCCCCTGCCCGATGGAAGTTAACATGCTACCTCTGTAAACAGAAAGGTGTTGGTGCCTGTATTCAGTGCCACAAAGCAAACTGTTACACAGCATTCCATGTTACATGCGCTCAAAAGGCTGGTTTGTATATGAAAATGGAACCCGTGAAAGAACTAACTGGTGGTGGCACAACATTCTCAGTGAAAAAGACTGCATATTGTGATATACATACACCACCTGGGTCTGTTCGGAGGCCTCTGAATATTTATGGAGAAGCTGAAATGAAAAATGGCCTCTATAGAAAAGAGGGTTCTGCCAAAACTAGGTCTACATCAAGAGTCAGAAAAAAAGCTAAAAAGTCAAAGAAAACACTAGCTGAAACGTGTGCAGTTATGCCTGCAGTATCTGCTCCATGTATCCCTCCTCAGAGGTAAGAACATAATTTTAAAAAATTCTTAACAGTTGTTAGCGTTACCAACTTATTAAGGAGGAGTAAAAATTAACACCTAATAGGCTTTTTCAGAACAGGCTACAGTGGTTTTATGCTGTTGTTTATTTCCTTTGTAGAATAGCTTTCCCAGATTCACTAAAGGATCCAGATCATTAACAGTTAAAGGGAAATGTATAATCATTCTCTTAGATCTTACTTTAGCAATACATTTTAGTCATAAATGGTTTTCATTCATCATTTTCCTTGTATGCAATTGGAACATGTAAGGCTGGTGACTATTTGAGAATGACTGCTGGATATGTATTAAGGTTATGGAATGTTTCTGTTTCAAAGGCAGAAAGTTGCTCTGGAGCATGTGGATTAGCATATGTAGCACCTGTCTGTAACTCATTAAACCAGCATTATCCAAAGACTTTTCTTTGGATAATGCTGCAGCTGCAAAGGACAACTACATGATCCTAGGAAAAGGTCCAGCTCTAAGGAGTTGCTATGTGAGTGCATAATCATGCTCCAAAGCCTTTTGGCCTTCAAATCTGAAGTTGTGCAAACCAGAGGTGGGAACATACTCCTGTCCTGTTGTTGTTTTCCTTCATCTGGTGTTTGGAGGCTTGTTATTTCCAACCTGGACGTAACACTGACTTTTCAAGACTTACAAGCCTTGATAGATTTGTTCTTCATGCATTTATCCTGTCTTCTTTTAAAACCATCCAAGTGAGTAACCTTGATCATACTTAATGGTAATGAATTTCACAGGTTAATTATACATTGCGAGAAGTATTTTCTTCCATTTTGCTGAATTTCCTTCCAGTCAGCTTAATTGGATGACCCTAGTCCTAATGGTTTGATTTTTCCTTGTTCATATTCTATATTCCATGCAAGAATTTTTACATACTTTGATTAGGGCCCTGTTCAGTTGCCTCTTTCAACTATTTGGAATTATTTTATTTTGTTTAATAAAGTCATGAAGCATTGCGTGTTTCCTTGTGCATGATTGATTTTAGTAATACACTGCTTTAGAAACAGATTTTTTGGATGAGAGTTTTTTTCGGTCTTAAAGTGATTGCAGAGAGGATCTAATTTTCTAATTTATTACCCAAGATGCAGACCCAGCTTCGTGGAGTGAGAAGAAGGGAGTTGTATTCTATTTTATGTTTGCTAAGAAGAAACAAAATTTTATCCTTTACATATTTTGCACTACAGGTTCCGCAATCCCACATCACTGATTGGCATTGCAGGTTGGAACAAAAGGTTTAGTTTGGCTATTTGGAAAACAAAATACTATACATACTATTCAAAAGAGACAAAAGACCAGAAGATTGCCTCACCAGCAATCATCACCTAGATAAGCAAAGGTTACCACCAGGCACACAATCAAGCAGCAAACACATGCCAATCAAAGAA